TTGGAGCTCATACTTCTGATCTTCCAATTGTTCACCCACCAAAGACGTTGCAATAACTATAATGACTATGATTGCCTTCACATATTCAAGTTTCTCCCCTTTTTTTATGAACAATCAAGATATAGGAACCGATGCTGTCAGAGACGAGCGAGCTGATCCACTTGGAGATCGGGCTGAATTTCTCTTTGATGGTCCATCTGGTGAGGGTCCGAGCGAAGCTTCAGGAGGTAAGAAAGATGAAGCCCCAGTCTAATGGTCATGGTAGTCGATGAAATTTCAAACTATCCCATACAATATAAGGAAGAAAATCGTGATTTCCATCAGTTTACAGGTACCACAGAGGTAGAAAAAGCTTTTTTCGGGCGCTGATTGGCCACCTCGGAGGTGATTGGGAAGTACTATTCACCTCCGAACCGGCAACCGAACAGACAAAGTCGAGAGTCAAGAATCTAGTTTCTGACCACTTTCTGCGGTTAATTGGCAGAAATAAGCGCAGTGCTTTGGTTCTAGTATGGCATCTATCATCATTTATCTCTACTTAGCTGAATAGTTGTTAACTGCTATAGAAAACCGTGTAGTTTGGACTGGATCATGATATAGTGCAAGCTTATTTTTTTTCGGACACAGGTTTTCTTAAGACGGCCGTAGTGCGTAATGAAGGCCTCAAAAGTAGTCATCCGGTGGAAGAATATAGTTTAGATAAGAAATAATTTAAGATTTTGACATGAATTGTTTTTTTTCTCTTTTTCAGTTTCCCCGCCAGACGACGACGGTGAGTGCCACTCATTTCATTAGATTAAGCCCCTAAAGAATTATATTTATCTCTTCATTAACATTTTGCAACACCGGATTATTTTGTATAGAGGTCATTGTTACTTGTGGACAAAACGAGATGTCCATCAGCATTCCAAAGAGCGTTCTTAATGGCCTGGACGTGGAACATATTCGTCTTACTAATGAAAGCTGTGGAGCTACAGAGAATCCAGCTCGCGACCGCTACATTCTTGAGACGGACCTGACAGCATGTGGTACAACAAAAAGCCACATCGAGGATTTCGTGACTTACATGAATACCGTGGAGGAGATTCCCGTGGAGGATGATCAGATAATCACTCGTGTCCGTGAAGTGGAGATACCTTTCACCTGCGCTTACTCAGATACGGGAGTCGTGTCCGCCGTTGGTCTGCAAGTGGAGAGCAAAAAAATCGTTTTCTCCGAGAAAGGATTGGGAGAGTTCGTACTGGAGATGAATATTTTCCCAGATGATTCATATGAACGTCAATACACAAAGCGAGATTTTCCAGTAACCGTGCCGTTAAGGAAAATTTTGTACGTGCAAGTGAGCGTGGACACAGAGGATTCGCGGCTTGCGATTTTGGCAGAAACGTGTTTTGCCACACCCGATGCCAATCCCAATAAACCTGGATTGAAATACGTATTCATCAAAGATGGGTATGAATAACTTGTTGTCACTTTTTTTCACCCCTGATAGCTTTAGACTTGGCCTCTCATGCAGCCTTCGTTCAGGCTCCTAACGTAACATGCATGCTCCATGGAGATATGGGTTATGTGACGAGCCTAAACGCCGAATTCAAAGGAGTAACTCAACTCTTCTCTGAGAGAAGAGAGGGACATTTTCCTATTAATCATTCTGTTCCTTTAATCCTCGCTTTGCAGTAACTGGCTGTTCTGACATGTTTAGTGCAATATCTCATTTCAATTTCAATACTCACTCTTTCACTTAAAAGCTGATCACCATTCAAGGAATTACTACCTTAGTTAAGCAATTGTCACATTTACATGGGTTCAGCAATGTATGGTGATACCGTTTCTTGTTTTTAGATTATTCGCATATGAAACGTTTTCAATATTCAATTTTGAACGGCTTTGGTAATAAAGCCGCTCTCTAGAAAATAACTAAATTCTGCCCTGCACAAAACATTTCTAAGAAGCTATATGACAGTAAGATAACCAGAAATGCAGAATTTTCCGGAGATATCGTTTGACCACTCCTCAAAGCTCCACCGCCACGCAACCTCATCATCAGACCTCAGAGGGCGTCAGTGTCAAGAGATTGACAATATGTCTTCCTTTACAGATGTTCCGAAGACGACACCTTGGAGCGCAGGCAATCAAATGATAAAAGAAGGGAAAGGTTTAGCCTGGAAGCATTCAAGTTCCTGGGTAATAATCCGTTTGTTTACATGCACTGCAAGGTCAAGGTATGTGACGCAGATGATCCCAACTCACGCTGCGCACAGGGCTGTCTGCGTAACTCAAGGCGAAGGAGGTCGCTGTACACTCAGGAAACGAATGATGAGGAGTATCTATTGGCCCAGGGACCTTTCATGCGGGGAGCAAAGAAAAGCGATGAAACAGAGTCCCAGGTGGACATCGAACTGCATGAGATTGAAAACAGCAGTAAGTTTTCCTTTACAAAAGCATTAGAGGGCACCGTAGTGTTTAATAAAAACAAAGTTTCAAAGTTTCATAAGGTAGATCAGCTTTTCATTTTACCTCGGCGGAAAAAAAGGGTTGCCCAGGAAATAGCGTGCGCTAATGGGTAGTGCGCTGGACTTCCATATAGAGAAGCTCTAGTTCGAACCCTCCTTGAGTCGTTTTGGTGGCTTCTTGTGAAAAGCATCTTACACTCACCATACCTCTCTCCAGTCACGTTTACATGAGTACGGGGAATGGTTAGGGGAACGTTTAAAAGAAGATTATTAGTGGCATTGAAAGATCTTGCAGATGAAAGGGAAAGGAATTTTAGCAGCAGTTGAACAAGCCTTGATTTCTCTGTCTCTGTCTCTCTCCCGTTCCAATGACATTTCCCACACCATGTCTTTCTCTAATTCAAGACCTTGAATCAAATTTAAAGGGACGAGCTTTTCTGTTAACAAATAATGAAAAATATCCTTTTCCAGGTCAATTCACCCCTCTTGTTGCCGCTATGGCTGTTTTTGCTGCTGTCTGTGTTATGGGTGTGTCGTACTTCGCCTGGAACTTGAAGAGGAAGCGCGGAGTTGTTCGCAGTTATCAGCTCCTCAGTACCACTCCTGACGAGTGACAACTTCGACTGGGAGGAGCCGGAAAGTCGAGATTAATACCTTCATTAAGAATTTTTATAACCGCTACGCTACTTTGACTTTTTAAATTCAATTAGTTTGTATCAAGGAGCATTTTTTTAAGAAGAAAAGAACAAGAAATCTCATGTGCGCGATGTTAGAATATTGCCAGTAGGAGTGAATGAATTTTACCTTTTCGTGTTATAAAGTAGTTTGCTTTATAAGAACTAGGGTTATGTCATTCTTTCAGCATTTAATCACCACACAGCAAACCGAAAAGTTTGGCTGATCATTATGTCACTTAGCACGTTATACCATGTTTATAAATAGGTGATAGTAACATGAGTTTCTTATGAAATAAATCAGGCTCAACCTGCTGACGATGGTTGACGATTTGATTCTTTCACGTTACATAAAGTTTTTACGCGTTTGTTCTGTGATACAACAGTCAACTCTCTCGAAGCGGATTTTATGTCATGCATGAAACTTGCATCAACTTCAATTTGTGACTTGCTTTTAAAAGACACGGGGAGTAACAGCTTAATTCATAAGTCGAGCATCATTAAAGTCACTAATAATAAACCTGAAAATCATACTACATAAAATGGCACAATTTGACATCGAGTTTTTCTTCATCCACTGGATAGAGATTTATCCTGTCGATAGCGTTATCCGTCCTTCGAACAACCGGGGCCAGATCAACACGGCATTATCTCTAGGTTTCTCTTCAACATGTTTGTCAAGTAAACAAATGTAAACAGCGTCGCGTGAAAAATAACAACACGAAAGGAATCTTAAGTTGCCTACATATTTTAAGCTGCCAACAACTGGATTTTCCTTCTCTTATTTTTATCACCACATACAGCACCACCACCACCGACATCGTGAAGATTGATAAAATGTATACAGCAATGTATAGGTTTGGAAGGGAAGAGTTTAAGCTTTCATATTCTGGGAGAGAATTAAAACGATCTAGCCAGCGTTAACTGCAATTTTTAACCCCCGTTTAATTTCCGTTTATGACAACCCTCGAATATAAGACCTCCTAGTGCTCCTTACGAAGTTGTATAAGCACAAGGCTTGTAAGCTGAAGTTCACGGTATGTCCACACGTTTCGAAATAAATGAAAGGAAGTACACCTCACACAGATAATACCAAGTTACAATAATTTCAGCGTTACTTTTTTTGGGACTGTTACCACAACTTGGCGTACTGCATGAGACAAAATATCGTCCTTTAAGATACAACTTCTCATGGTGATCTCATATTTATACATCAGAGGTGGAAGGGGAATGGAAGCAACGGATATCATCTGATAACTGTCCCTGTCTCCTAGACGATTTGCTGACGAAATTTATATTGCATGATAGCATTTGTATCGCAAAGTCAAACTTAAAAAAACGGTAAATTATCCGAAGTTGTTCATGAGGTCTGGTCTTTCGGGTAAGAGTAGTCAATGACTGACGCTTCAACAACCTTGGCGGAAGGTTTCGTCAAAGTTAAACGCAATTAAAAAAAAGATTATGGAAGTCTCACCAAAAATATATATAAAAGAAACAGTAATAACGGGTATAGAAAAGAGGTACCCTTTTATTGCGGTGTGAGTATCGCTGTTGCTCTTGTCATTCCACAGGCTTACAGCAGTTTGTAAGACAGTATCAATATAGACCTAACACTATGCTCTGTATGTCGATATGGAGAGATATGCAATATAATTATTATATAGTGTTATTTTGCCATATGAAGAGTTCTAAGCTACCTTAAAGATGAAAAAAACTTTGCGCCTGCTCTAGGTCCGATTCACAATGCCTCATACAATTTTGAGAATCTGTAAAATTTCTGTTGATCGTAAAAATGGCATCGCAGTTCCTGTTTGTCTACACTGCGTTAACAATACTACACTTAAACAAAAGCCATTCCTTTGTCACAAAAGACAGCACTCAGATAACCAATAGGTTTTTTTAATGCCTCTCTTTAGTAAAAAATAATTATAATGGTCAAGGCTGAGTCGATTTTCCTGTCCACAAAAAGTAATGTACTGCGATAGGAATGTCACGACCTAAACTGTAAGGACCAACGCTATAACAACTAAATCTTACAAGCTTAACGTAAAACAGTTTGACAACCCTTACTGGTAGTAACAAGCAAAATTTCCACAAAAAAGTGTCAAAATAATTTTGAATCTGTCAGTTTAATTTCACTTCATTCCAGCGTGAACCTGTGTGGAACAAGAACAACTCCCGAGTGTTTTATTTCGTTCCACTGCCATACAGTTTATTCCACTGAATGTATAAGTCGAGATCTTTCTCGGAAACACTCGCGCGTACTTGATGCAAAGCCTCGTCAAAATCTTTGAACAGAATCGGTCGAACCTGGAATCAATAGATTACGTTTACTTGATGTAATTCAACGGAAGTAAGAATAACCTTAACCCTTTACCTTCCATGAGTGACCAAGACAGAATTTCTCCTTACAATATCAATACAATATCGTCCAGATAATTGATGAGAATAAAGACAAATATCAATTTGGGGATAATTAGTTGATTCAATACTAAATTCTCTGAACTAACATTATAAGAATTGTATGGTCGACAGTAAGGAGAATTAAAAATTTGATCTGGAAGTTTAAGGGTTAAGAAAGCAGGGTATGTAGGTTTGTTGGCAATCTTAAAGATCATCGAGTCCTCCGTTTTACAAATAGATTCAACATCTGTACAGAGAGCTGTAGTTCGCTTATTGTTAAGGAAGACAAAAACGGCCCAGCGCAAATGATTCCATTCAGATTTAACCATTGACTTTGTCTTTTGTTCATGAACGGGGTAAAACTTCATTTCAGACATTCATCGATAGCTGATTATAGCAATATGCGGGAGGCTTGTCAAATGATCAAGTTCTCTATCGCCCCTAGGGTAGACAATTTAACCAACAAATTTGAAATATAGTTCAAATATGGTTAGGATTCGAATCCTCTTGGAGGACTCAGATTGTTCTTCATTCCAAGCTCGTAACACATGTTTAAAATCGTTCGTTGCCTATCGCTGTGTAGCCTATACTGCGCGTGTGCATGAGCTAGTGATGACTTCGTATAAATTAAATGACTGTATGCTCTGTAAAATGCGATGCAAGAACTAGAGGGGTGGTGTAAGATTGGACAGGGCACCATTCATGTCAAAACTGACGAAGGTTTAATTCATACCTGATCAGCGTCAATACACTGAATATCAGTGATACTTCTGATTGGCCCAAGAGCAGCTTCTCGACAAAGATTCGCCATATCTGAGCCTGAATATCCTAAAAAAAAAAAGCGCATCATAAGAACTAGAGATCAGTAGAGACATGGATTCCTTCCTGGATGTAAAATGACTATCTACAGAGGTGCGGACGAGAAGACAGCTGATTTCGTACACTTTCGAGCATTTAGGTTGTCTCTCATCTACAATAGGAACCTTTGGCGAAAGCAACGAGGACATGGCAAAACAACAGATCTAATGAGCAGAACAATAACTCAGCACGTGCGCTTTAAATCTGTGTACATTTCTTAGCTTTCCTCTGCAAAATAACAACGTGAAATTATAAAATTTGCGTGGTATCAAAAGGGGAACCCGGCGGCAAATTGTTTAAGTTTTCCACTCCACGCGGCTTTCATACTTTGTGCTAAGATTAACTTGTGGCGTCGTAAGAGATGGTGGACTAATTCAGTAATTCGCAAGATTGTAACGAGAAATTTATTTTTAAATCGACGTTTTCCTTGGCGTTGTCGTCCTGACTGCAAAAGGTCCTTTATGTCCGGGTAACTTGAAGTCCAGTTTACCTCAACACAGACCAAACTAGAATCGTTATTTTGATATACTATGACGTGTTTCTTTTGTTCCAGGTATCTCTTACTTCTTTTATCTCAAAACATCCACTATGAATCGAGTTTAAAGTATTTCCTCCAAAACACTAAAATTCTCTGATTTTAGACGTCCCGGAAAGAAACTCAGATTGGACTTCGCAAGTTTTCCCAAGACACGAGTTTACACAGCATTTTATGAGATAAAATACCCTTGTATTACATACCATGTGTATGCTGAACTATTGTGTTGACGTCTTCTTGAGACAGACTGCATTTCTGTTGCGACAGAAGACTGTACATGATTTGTTCACGTGCACCAGCATCGGGAAGAGGAATGTAAAGTCTTTTTACTAAACGACGTCTCGCTGCTTCGTCAATCTCTTGAGGCCTTGGTAAAGCAATATAAATATGAAATTGTTTCCTAGCTCTCCCCTTCTCTTGAACTTAAAACAGTTTGATAAAAATATAAATCAGTAGTATACAGTGTATTTAACTCGGGTTTCTCCTGACATACTGTAGCAACAAAAACGACGCATCTTTTTCAAATTCTCTTATCCCGGAAGCAATCAGGGGTATTAAATCTCATTGGAGAATGGATGCCAGAACATTGCAAGTTACCCATGCGTGATAGGTGAGCCTTCCGTGTCAGTAAAGAGTACCATAAAGGTTCTACCTTACTCTTTGTGCCAAGGAACACCTACTACTACAAAAGCTTTTTAACATTAGCTGACCTGTTCGTGGCGCCAACCACCAAAATTCTCTCATCTGAAGTGGTTGTAGCCCCATCCTAACAGAAAATCAAAACTATAAGCCACTATTTTATTACACTCTAAACCGACGACAACATCACAGCTAAGTAAAAGGTTCACCTTCCGTTCAAGACTACAAACAGCAATTTAGCGGAATATTAGGAGAAGCACGAGTTGTTGTGGTTTGGCTCAGCTATTTTCCCGCATATCTTCTATATTGTATAGTAACACACTTTATTTCGGATAATAAATGTTATCAAAGTAATACTGCAGCCTCTCAAAACTATCATTCTTTTCATGTGAGTATAGCTCAAATGTATCAGGTGATTCTGGTTTCTCGTGGCGGAATTGAAGTCAGAATGTGAGAAATCATCTTTTAGTTAAGTTGAAAAAAGTGTCCACCGTAGGTTATCCCAGTGTCTGACGTTTTGCCCAGGTAACCCGACAGTTCGCGAGCGCACATTTTATATTCTGGGTGGGAAAGGCAGCAAGAAAGCAAAAAGCCAAACAACCAGAAACAATCTGCTCGGTTTCATCTTTTGGTCTGATCGTCCCATTGAGTACAGTCCGTTTGTCGTTACTAGTGACTGACTTTTTGACAACCTTAGCGGAATTCACGATCAGAGTCGAGTCATTTAATATTTTTGCAGCGTTACATTACTTACCAGTTGCACTAGAATTTCAGTTTTGATTCTCCTGGAGGCATCGTGCTCTCCATCTGTTCTTTGCGACAACAGCGAATCTATTTCGTCGATGAAAATCACAGCAGGCAGATGACATCTGGCAACAGCAAACAATGCACGAACCATTTTTTCACCCTCACCAACCTACAAAACAAACAAACATCAACAATAACAACGGTATACACACGATCTGACACCGTCAAGCAAGAACATAGTAAAACACATCCTAACTAATGTACCAACTTACCCACTTTGACGTGAGGGACGAAGCGCTGATACTAAAGAAAGTAGCCTTTGATTGACTTGCTATACATTTACCTGAAATAAATATATACCTCTAGTTACTAACTAAAGCGTTACCCACCATCATTAAACTTATACTCTTTCGACCATTACGGGAAAATTTCAGTCTTAAGACACCAACGAAGTTTCAAGCCATTGCTTACATTGGGATATGAAATCATTAAGACAAAAAAGAATTAAAAATACTTTTCTGGGTGTAAGACAATTAAAATGTGAGTATTTTCACACGGCTCAAAAATCAAATAATCTGCACATCAATAAATCAGTATTTTTCAAAATACCGCGGGTCTCTCTATTTTACGGATTTAGGTGTATCGATGTTTATGTCACATGCGAACGTCAAATCCACCTCTGGCTTTGTTTACTTTTCTTCCCATCCATGCTTTCATCCAACAAAAAAATACAAAAAAATCGCTCCATTCACAGCAAATGAAAACAGCATCACATAACTGCACATACGGCTGAGGGGCAGACAGCGGAGATAAATGTGTGGAACAAGGGAACAGGAGGGATACGAGATAGAGAAGATGGAGAATGAGAGCTGTCTTTGATAGACACAAACATGATTACACAAACATGATTCAAACTATCTTTTTAAGTGACAGATGGTTGATAACAGCAAAATTTAGTGACAAAAAAAAGTGGCAGACATGCCGCAGAAAAGACAAACAAATCATACCTACCGATTAACGTTTTACCAGTTCCTGGAGGTCCAAAGAGTAAGATTCCCTTCGGTGGACCACGTAGGCCCTTGAAAATGTCACTAACCGAAAAATAAAAATACACGTCTCTTAATTGTTTTGACCTTGGAAACAGTTGACACTGAAAACCACTTCTCGATCTCCGTTTGATCTTTTGAAGTCGCTTTCAGAATTGTTTCCAAAATAGGGCCCTCATCATTTGTTTACTTGAATGGGAAAATTGAAAAGCCTAGAAATATTTACGCTATAACTAAAATGAAGTAGCTCGTGGTGAGCAATGTGTATTCAAAAGGAGAACAAAAGAAAGAATTACTGGGTAGCGTTTGAAAACGTTTTCCGTTGCAAGCTCAAGTCAGGTCCTATTAAGATCTCTCACTGTTACATCAAAAGAATCGTTTTCTTCCAACAAACCGTTATTAGAAGGCTGCAATTCAATCTCAGAATTTAATTCACTTCACACTAGCACAGCGCTGTTTTACTACCAAATACTTTGTACACAACAACGTTAAACACGCAACGGAAAACAACTAAGACCGTTGGCATAGAGCTATAACACCATTCAGTTATACTGCTGTGAGACCACCAGGCCTTGATGATTTGCAGACAACAATGACAATATCATTCTGCTTAGCTGCATAAGAACGTGGGGCGCGAAAACATTTTGATTCACTCACGGTCTCAGCATGGGCCATACAACAATCTCCTTGATAACATTCTTAGCAAATTCAAGTCCTGCAATATCATCCCAAGACAATGGTGGGCCGTGATCCATGATCTGAAAACAAAACATGAAAAACAACAAATCAAATTGATTCATGAAAACCAACTTGATCGATATGTTTTTTTTTTCTGTCTTCTCATCTTATTGTAGGCTATAAAAAATTCCCTATGAAAGCTGATGTTCTACCTGATCGCAAGTTAGGCGGTGAAGCCATCAGACTCTTTGGTAATCAGCATTGTAGAGCATACTTTAAATAAAACTGTGGGAAACAACAAACACGTGCAGAAAACACAACTTTCTGTATGTGCAAGGGCACTTCGATCCGGCGATTCCAATATGTGTATAACAGACCATAGCTCCTCTTGTGATCTTACCTCGTTAGTAATAAGTTCTATCATTTTTGGCTCAATATTTTTCAGTCTTTCATCAACTTCTGGATCAGCGCCGGCAACTTTACCACTTTGATTCTTGCCAATGTGATTCGAATAACCAGCCATAGCAGTACCACTGGAAAAATTAAGAAGAGTATTTCACTTTAATTAAAAAATGTAAGAAGTGTAAGAAGGCATTAACTCAATTTGTTATCTACCTAGACTTTCATTCAACAGAACAAGCACTGTGATTGGTTGATTCTCGGTCACGTGCCCATGATCAAATTAAAATGTATCCTGACCGGGATACAATTGCGCAGTTGTTACCCGCTCGCCGAATACAACAGCATATTTTTGCCATATGATTGTTTAAGGGAAAGTCTGAATATATAACAAAGCAGTTAATGTATGGTCCCTCGGGAAACTAGTTAGTTTTGTTTCCCCTCGAGTCCTTCTCGGGGAGGTTCTTCTCGAAGTCTTCTGTAAAAGAAAAGAAGTCGAAGTCCTCTGTAAAAGAAAAGAAGTCGAAGTCTTCTGTAAAAGAAAAGAAGTCGAAGTCTTCTGTAAAAGAAAAGAAGTCGAAGTCTTCTGTAGAATGAAAAGAAGGAGTATAAACAGGACTACAGCAAGGTGTAAATAAAAGCTTTATTATATACTCAACAAAATATCGCGTTTCTGATTGGTCAATGATGAA